TAGAGCGCGAAAGTGCGAAAAGAGATTTCGCGAAATACCACGCGCGAGATTCGACGCGAGATATATGTATATCTGGCCAATTCGTGGGAATTTATTAGCGGCCGTCCGTGCACGTCCGCCAACCGCACACCCGCTATCACGCCAACTTTGTTCGCTGCGGTTTAACTCCATTACGATCGCTTTCATATCGGAATTCTGATATAGATGACGGCTCTTGTCAAAAACAATAAATGGAAATACGATAAAATTGATATCGCATTTTTTCGGAATGAAACCAGCACGACGACCAGCACTTCTCTTTTAATCTCATAATTAAAGCTATCTAATTTTCGTAAAAGAACATACACTCAGAGAAGATTTTTGATATATTAATATAGTTGTTCCTCCAAAATATATATTATAGAATTATAGTTATTTGAATCATTTTTTATAATAACTTTAGCCATAACTTTTATGATTATAATAACTATAATTATAGTCATTTTCGACTGCCAACTATATATATATATATGTTGATAAAACTGTACATATATTTAGTTATGATTACTAATCTATAGTAGTCATAATCACAATTATAGTAATATGTAATTATAGTTACAAATAAAAAAGTTTTTTCCTCAGTGTACCATAGAGCTACCTACTAAAATTATACATTCTTATCGCAATGGATACGTCACAAGTATTAATTACTAGATCATAGTTTCATAGTACAGGACATTTCTCAATTGCATCATCTCCTGTCTCGGAGCTTTATTATAACGTACAATATTACTAACATATATAATATTAGTAATACTGAAATTAATACCGAGAAAAAGAGGAGATAAATGCGGGGATGCGCACTTAAGAGTTGCCACTTCGTGCGAAAGTTAACGGCCGCGAATGGTAGGGATCGACGTATTATAACCGATCACCAGGAAGCCCCGGCTCTCGTATTCGCCCCGAGCTTTGTCTTAACGATGAACGTACGCAAAGTTACCGCTGATCGCCGACTCATGCTTACGAACGTTCCTTGCATCCGTGCGTAAGTTATAATGCGAATCATTGCCACCGTACGCGCACGGATCCGGACGGACGCGTACAAACTACTACAAACGACGCCGAACGACAATTTTATCCCGAGTCACGTAGTTGCGCGCGAAAAGAGGACAAGCCAGTAAACATCAAATTTAATTTAGCGGTAATATACGAGCTAAACGGGAACTTGCAACACACAAAACATGTGATCAAGCAACACAAAAAGATTCATGTAAATTTTCATGTAAACAACAATTATAATTCCAAGACCTACTATTAAAGGTATATATTTACGAGTATACACAGTAAATTCTTTTGATTGATGTAACTATACTTAATCCTTTAAAGCATACATTTTTTCTTACCTACGATTGACTTGAAAATTGGTACTCGAGGGTTTTCGAGGTCACACGAATTAAAGTCCGCCATCTTGAATTTTGGGAATCTGATCACGGATTCGTAATCAGCGACCCCGAGAACCCCCAGATATACATTTTCATGAGATTTGTATTGTTTTTCGAATTTGAGTCCGTCAATATTGGATCCGCCATTTTGAATTTCTAAATTTTAACTTCAGATTCGCAATCAGCAACCCAAAAAACTTCTTGGACTTTATTTTCGGCTAATTAGCTATTGTTGATTAGTCACATTTATATATATATTATTAGAAAGGGATGAATTTTTCCAGTTTATTTATTTATAAAATACATTTTGTCAACAATGGAAATGTTTCTACGGTTTTTTTATAACAATTGATGTTCTACAAAACTGATAATGTTCTTTTCATTGTAGTATGTTAGAAAAACTGTGTGAAAAACATAAAAAATTGAGATTAAAAAGGTGTCACATATGTGTGACACTGTGCCACAAAGAGTTAAGTAGCTATCTATATTGTTTTTCAATTCGATTTTGGCAATGTTGTTTCCTTTCTTATAATATTTATTTCTTAATGTTCTTTTACATAAGTTGACTCTGCTTTTGACACTGCGAACATTATGTTCTTACAAGAAATTTAATTTGATTTTATCTGTTTTGTAAATTTTAATTTATTTAATTTATATTATTGTGCAGTTATGATTTGCAGTAGGTAAGTCTCCATAAGGTTTTGTTATCCTTTCTCTTTTTAATAACTGTCTTTTTAATGATATTATTTCTGATTCAGCTTGCATTTAGTTAATCAGCTACACTTCAGATATGGTAATCTGTGAGAGTCTTGCTTGCACTCAATTTCTTTGTAATTATAAACATTGGATGGTTATCAATTATTGCTATAATTGGAGACTGCTGAGGTTTGAATATAGCCGAAACGTTCAGTTTTGTATATTATGTAATGGATTAATAGATACAATCAACAAATATATGTGTATATATGTGTATATGTGATAATCGCATCAATTACCGCGTATTAAGACTCTTAATCGCCCGTTTTTTACCGTTTTATTTTTTGTTTTTATACACAGTAAAGTTATACCTTACAAATAAAATTACTCTTTTTTTTTATCATTAGTATTACAATTAAACAATTTGCAAAAGTGAATTCACAAACGAATTTAAATTTATAAGACTATTAACGTAATAATTCGTCAAACGTACAATTTTTTTTAAACTATGTTACATTAAGTCCGTATATCGAAATACAAACGTAAAACTGCAAATGTAACATGCACAATATTATATACGAATTTGCAAACCCTTTTCTTACGTCAAAAATGTTATATACGAAATATATTATACTAATTTTCAACGCGATGTCGTAATCTACTTCTAAATGAGAAGATACTGCGATTGAGACATTGCTTGCAAAATAAATCGCTCAAAGATTCAATTCGATACACGTGAAAGAGTCATCTTTTATCTCGTATGTCCTCTCTCTATTTGTCCGTAATGTGCGACCATACACATCGTAGGCACGCGATTACCATTCGTCGAAAATTTACAGCGTCGTTCGCTTTCACGCATCAGGAGTTCATTCGCTAGTTAATACGCGATTAACGCGGGAAAATGATTTACACACTCGGTTTCTCCGGCCTGTGTCTCTCGCCGGATATAGTGCGCTGAAGCTAGTTCAGAGATTGGATGTCTCTCGAGTAAACAACGGACACTCGGCGTTCGCACGCCAGGTATAATTTTCTGCATCGATGAGCCTCGTCGATGGCACGGCGCCGCTCATTTTTAAAAAATCCGTGTGTGTGTGCGTATGTGTGTGAGAGAAATGTTCACGAGAATCATAGTTTTCATCTTTCGAGTGTTGTAAGATAAATAAACGTTGTGCCGTAAGTATACCGTAATTATCTACTCTCTCTCTCTCTCTTTCTCTCTCTTTCTTTGTCACCCTCCTTTAGATGAAACGCGAAATAAGGAAAGCAGGCTACGGAGGAGAAGAAGCGGTAAAACTACGGCACTTACGCGATAATTAGTACCTTTTTGCATCGTTAACGTTTAAGCGAATGAACAACGATAGCGCGAACGTAGGCATGTTAATGGACGCGACAGCGAGCATGCCCGCGAGTGTTCTCTGCCTCCCTTGTGCTTTATAATTCGTGAAACGACCAATTAACGTTCTAGGAGAAGAAAAGTAGGTGGTCCCATGCCTTTTCTCTGCTAGTCTCTTAAATAGTTCTTGGACGTTCGTTTTGAGACCCCTGGAGATCCCTGTGCAAGGTGGCACGTTTACCAGCCGCTTTCAACTGCTTCCCCAAAGCTCCGTTTTCATAAGAAGGCTTTTCGAGAAGATTAACTTTTAATGATAATACTTGTATATAGCGCAAAGAAATTTATGCAGAAATAAAGAGTATATTTTTAATGGCTTTGAAAAATTCGTCTATCAAAAGTATAAGATTTTACGCAGTTTATATATTTTTTGGCAGTTAATGAGCAGCTTTTTTGAAAGGTGCGTTATAACAATATTTTGTCTCATTATATATACATATATGAATATTTCCGTAATGTTTAAATAATTATAATATAAAAAGTATATAAATCTACATATCTTTGTTGTATAAAGAAAATAATCTCAATTTAAATTGTATGTGTAAAAAGTTATGAATTATTCAAATAATTAGGTTAAAAAAAATTGTAATAGTTACTTTTAATGAGAGATGCGTATAATTTTTTTAAGACAGTGCTCATTTTGGCAAAAAAAAAAGTTATAATATGTCCATTTTAATAAGAAATTATAAAAAAATTAATTTTTGTAAACGTTAAACCTTTTCAACGGTTCAAAAAAATATTTATTTCGCGTTATTTCTACTTCTATTTCTATCGAGAGCTACAGTAAATGATACGAAAAATATTCATTATGAAACAATAATCGCTAAACTGATACGAGAAATCCGAAACTAAATAAAGTTAAGAAAACATAAAACGACAATGAAAAAGACGACAAATGTTTCGTGACAAATTTCGTACGTTGGACAGCAAACAATAGAGATGTTTGTTGCAGGATGCACTGTCAAGTTTAAGGTTAAAGACCTCTGACAGGGGCATTATTAAAATCCCCGCGGCGCAGCACTACGCCAGAGATCGGCTCGCATGACTCGGCGCGGTATCGGCAACCACCAGGAGTCGGCAAACTATGACTCGCGCGTTCTCTCGATACAAAGACTCCGATCCGCTCCGCTCCGCACGTTCTCGCGAGAGAATCCCCATCCCATGCCGCGTCTCCTACAAAACGCGGCACGCCGATCGCGACGCGAGATGCGTCTTATCTTCGCAAGGGCACAGGAACTACTCCCTTCGTAGTTCGTTTCTTCCGCGACGAAAGACGAAAGAAGCGAGCGAGCACACGGCGAGTTCCATCCACCGTTGCGCCGCAACCGTCGCCGAAGCGAGCCGAGTGGAGTCGACTTTGTGGAGCCGTGCACGATATCTCTCGATCGAGAGCATGCTCCGGGTCTGTGGCTCTATGCCGTGCGTGTGTGTGTGTGTGTGTGTGTGTGTGTGTGTGTGTGTGTGTGTGTGTGTGTGCGTGTGTACGTACATACCTGTTGCTGCTTTCTCTGCGGAGTGCGACGCCAATGCTAGCGTCCGCGGCGAGGTCCAAACGGAGATTACCGGCAAGACGACGTTGTTAGTCCCGTGATGTACGACGACGTTGCGGATCCTCCGTTGTCGTTGATGTCCCGCGAGAACGAACCGATCGCTTCCGTACCGAAAACTCCGAGAAACAGACGTACTAGCGTTCGCGATTCAAATATCACGGCGTCCTGCATCGCCGGGTATCGGCGCACCTGCACCTGCTGCACTTGTCGCGACACAAACCACCGCACCGTAATCGGCGTAATCCGCGAGCCGTCGCGCTGCCCTGCGAATTCACCGCACGATACCGAGAACACTGAGAAATAATAACGATCGGGACGAGTGACGATGACGACGATGACGACGACGACGACGCGGGCATCACCTCGCAGCATCACCGTTTTAACACATAACACGCGCGAGTCACGCTGAACGTTTGAAACTTCAATCCGTGCCTTTTCTCCTACTTCCGATTATTTTTCTTTTCTAACAATTCTAACACATTCGTCGACCGACTGCCGAATTTACGCAAACTTCACTGATTTCACGTCGCTGACAATAATTGCACTACAACCGGCGTTGGCGGGGCAACTTCACGTCGCTGACAACTTCGCGGCAGAGTCGGCAGTCGGGTTGTCCGCGAGTCAACTTTTTTTTCGATCGAAAGATTTCGAAAAATCGAAACCAATACTGGATCACATCTCGCCAACTGTCATATACAAACTCGAGGAAATGAAATGAATCACAATTCAGAGCACGCGAACCGGAAGGATAGCTCCAGCGAGAAGAAAGGCGTGCGCAACGGCATACTTACAACGGCGTACTTTTCTCGCAATTCGGCACCGGTGTGCTCCGACATGAAGTACTCGCCGAAATACCGACCTGTTACTTATCGAAGGTTGCCTTCTCGTTTGACGGCGCACCAACACGAAGAGTCGCGAGACTGGAGTCGAACTGACCGCCGAGATGAGGCCCAACTCCCCACAACTGGTCGCTTCTGCGATCACCCTCCTCCTGCTACACCGCGGATGCCACTGGACGTTCTCCTTACCTTCTCCTCTTCCGCCACCCCTCGCGCCCTGCTGAGGCCTGGTCCCGACTCAACGCTTTCGCATCATTGTATACCTCCTGTTCCGCCGGTCGCACTCGCGCCTTCTTCTTCTTCTTCTTCTTCTTCTTCTTCTTCTTCTTCTTCTTCTTCTTCTTTCATCCATCGTTTCTCCTTACACGCGCGCACAGATTTTCACTCGTGATCGTAAATGAATGTGCGATCGACGACGAGCCCTTTGCGAGTCAACGGCTCGCGTGTCGATTGTATTCGTGGTTAACTGCCTGGCTACGCGCGCATTTCGCGGAAAGTTATCAGGGAGGCTCTCGAGGATCGATCGTCCAACGATGATCCTGACGAGGCCCGGATTCTGAGAACTCACCGATTAACTCGCTCCCGTTGTAGCTCAATTGATTCTCTTTGTCTCCTTGAATCGTATAGCGTGTCGTAGCTGCATCCATGATGAAAGATGCAATCAATCAGAGTGATAGTAGTAGTTTGATGTTTAAAGAACTCGGATTAAATAGTGGCCACGGATGATGAGCGATATTAACGAGTTAGTATTTAGATACGAATATAAAATCTTTATTTCTGCGCGTTACATTGTACAGTCAACCGTGTGTAACAAGAGCTGGCGGAAAAGTGTATCACTCTCGTCTCGCGATTGTTCACCTGACCTTAGTCTCGGAGAAAACTATTTACCTATTTTTGATTGTTCGAGAAAGTTTCGATTTAAAGATTTTAAATCAACACTTTATTTCTTGCCTATGTAAGATACAGCGGATAGATATATCCCAAATTTCTTAACAACGAATTACAGCGCGTGCTATATTATATTTTACTGCAATATCGAATTGTTTCATGGCAATGTATATTAAATTAAATGCTGTTTAGAAATGTTATTAATCGTTATGCTCTTTATTTACTATTATTTTCGCTCGCCGGTTTAACCGTCTCGTGTTTATGTCTGCGTTGTCCTTTTTATCTATTCCAAATAACTGAGCAATTCTGATATACGTTATCTGTACGTTATCTAGCAACTTCTAAAAACGTGAATATTCTTGTGACTTTAAATCTTTGAACATTTTTGCAGCCGAAGTAATGGCGTAAATGTATAATTGTAATTATTATTATATAGTAATAATAATTAAATTAATGTCTTCTGCCTCCAGAGAAATAAAAAAGGGGTCAACAGAACAAATAGACTGGAATAATGCACGTTTAAAGTTCGGTCACACTTACCAAAAATAGAGAGATGATGCGATGATTCGGATCAAAGCAGACGTTCGCCTGTGCCGAACGATTTCTCGAGACTGTAATCAAGAGATTACGAATTATCGATGAAAAAAATGTGACGCGTTGCTTTATAATGAACTCCGAAATTATCCGTCATTCAACTGTCAGGCTGCGTCGTGCGTTTCTTTTGCACTTTTGATGCTCATAATGAGTCTGTTCGCGTTGTATGAAATCCCCAGAAATATTTTTGCACTTAAAATGAGATAGATGTATATTTGGCGTTGAAAAGAGAGAAAGCGAAGATGCTGAGTGCAAAAAGTACAATCAACACAAACAGGATGATGCCAATGCATGAGACATACATAAGAAGTAAAAAGCATTTTAAAGCATTTACCTATTTGTATTAAAACTAATCCTTGTTGAAATTTTTATTTTAAATTGTTAACACATATACGAAAATGTTAATAATAATGATTGTAAGATAGGAAACAAGACCGTTTATATTAAATAACATTACAATCCAAAGCGCCACTACGGTCTAGTATTAATAATAATTACGTGTCGATATGGTTGTCGACATTAACGCAATTAATCTGAAATGTAATAATCCCCCCAAAATTCCCCAAATTAATCTTAAAAAATTGTAATAAACTTATTACATTTCAGATTAATTGCGTTAATGTCGACAATCATATCGACACGTAATTATTATTTCTGAAATTAATTCATTCGTTTGAATAATATATATATTAGTTCAACATCTTAATACTTAGACCGTAATGGCACTTCGGATTGTAATGTTATTTAATAATGATTGTGTTGTTTAAATATTTCGTTTAATTGATATGAAACATTTTTGATGTTATAATAACATTATTTATGAATAAGTGAACAATTAAATAACACAAAAATAATGTAATTGTAGAATATTTTAAAATAAATTTTAAAATAAATGAATGAAATGTGCATAGCGTGTTCATTTTACATATTATATCATATTAAATGTTAATTTTGTTAATAAAATATACTTTTACAATTTGTTTCCAAATTATGTTAACGTGTAACATCTTTTGTGTTAATTTTTTATTTATATTACTTTTTAACACATTCATCTTACATACATTAAATTAATATTAGGTGTTGGAATTAATTCGTAGCGTTTTTAATGAAAGAATGTTATTTATTTCACATGAGCATTAAAAAATACATTAATGAAAGTACTTCCCATCACTTGTAAAACGCTACGAATTAATTCCAACACCTAATATAAAAATGTGAAAGGATCGTTTGGGAAATATGTTAAATTTAACACAAATTTTCCAACTGTACGCACATTTACTGCACGCATATTATTGCACGTATAACGTTATCACATAATTATATTTGTCCTAGAAAAAAGATATCAAATGGGAATTTTCGGAAGAGAAATATCCTATTACGGCGAACGAAAGAAGGCTTTATATTTCCTTTTTCCTTAACCGATAAAATTTTTTGACGTATTGAAATCCAAATCGTACTTTTCCCTCATTCGTATCCTCCTTAAGGGCCCCTCACGTTCACTCGGTCCGAAGTTCTCGGTATCCGCTTCTTGCTCTTTCCTTCCTGCCCTGTTCTCTTGCGTGTCTTTTTTCCCACGCTTAATATTCCGCATTCGCCATTCCCTCCTCTCTTCGTTTTCCACTTTTTGATTGCTTCGTTCTCGTCCGCGTGCATGTTTGTTTCGTTATATGCACGATATCCGATCGTACGACCGTGATATAATTAAATCGCGAAAGAGAAAATCGTCAAATCAAACGATAGTAGGCTTAGCAGTGTCGATTTCTTATAGGCTTAGCAGTACTGATTTATTAAAGTTATAGTTAAACCATCGAAATTATGTCCTAGTGTTGCTAGCAACTAGCATTTGATTGGCACCACGCGTGGTTTATGAATAATGCTAGCTATTCCGTCATCATTAAGTTCCGTCATCAGTTATCTACAGTAGAACTGAGTTATTAGTGGATTAAATTTTTTTAAGAACTTTTTGCTATCAGAAATATTATTATAATATCGAATCGAATTCAGTCTTTGAAAAAAAAAAATTTTCTTCTTAAGATTATTTATCGTATTTTGTTTTTCATTTCAATATCTAAAGGATTAAAGTAAAAAAGCGTAAGTTTTTTTTGTTTCAAATCAAGATGTATTTTTCTCGTTAAACGAGTTTCTCTTTTATTTATCTTTCCTGAGTAATATCCAGCAAAAACTTGGCGTTTGTGAGATTATAAACATAAATAATCAAAAACGGATTTGCGAGTTTATATGTAGGATTTAATAAAACATTTCTATATGACATATATCTCAGTTTGTCGCATATTTCACAGGTTTCAGAATTATGAAATTATGTTTTTAAGGAAAAATTAAAAAGTAAAGCTAGTATCATTGTTGTGTATTACTTTTATTAACATTTAAACAAAAATATTGCAAAAGTATATTTTTTAAACTGATTTTATTGTAGCACTTAGTTTAGATTGATTTTAAGTACGGAAACTTTTCAAATAACAAGTTTCTTTAAAAAATCAATAACGAGTAACTGTAACTTGTTACTTTAAAAAAGTAACTTTCCATTCCCTGAAACTATAAATTAAAAACTAATTATAGTCTAATCGCACCTATAATATGCGCAAGTCGCGTAATCACTAATCGCATGCGATGAAGTGATAAGGTGGTGTCAAATGGAAAGAAAAGGTCGGCATAAATCCTAAATTTAACGCGGCATTCCGTATAATTATGATCGCACAAGCGGGAGGCCGGGAGCGAAGTAGCGAACCTAAATCCAATTTCGCGGATCAGGTGTAGCGCTGCACGGCTGCGCGGCTCAACACTCGTCAAGTCAACACTCGGTCGCAATCGGTTACCATCGGTATCGCTCGGCCGCGCTCGCGCGGCCACGTGACCGCGTAGCGAAACATGGCGCGCGGACTGGCCACGAAGATGGCTGCCGCGCGTTACGAAAGATCGAACGGTATATCACGGGGAAGTCGGTTCCCGATCGTCGATATAATCACCGCGCCGTCGTCCGCTCTTCGTAGTTGTCGAGCACGGTGGTGGCCGTCGACGCGATGGTATACGATATTAAGTGGATCATACCGAAACTACGGAACCCGTCCCGACTCTGGAACATCGCGAGCAGCATAACCTTCGCGGCGGTGGGCATTTTTTCGAAAATCATCATAGGTAAGAGCACATTGTCCCGCGTGCCGGCCCACGCGTGGAATTTATCAGCCTGATGACCCGAAAAAGTGGATCGCTCGAATGATACGGTTGACTGAGCAATTCCAAGTCGATTCCGTGTAACGTTAGCCTGGTAGGTAGGTAGGTGGTATGCGAGCGAATTTCCTCGTGCGTTTCGCATATAAGAGCCATTGCCATTGCTCGCTCGCGGCGATGTGCATGATGGTTAAATAAAAAGCAGACAACACCCAATACGGCATCTCGTCGCAATTGACATCGACGATGATCGTCGTTGTCGCGCGGAAATATCGAAGCATGGTCGTTTACCATCATGGCACGTATACCGCATCGTGGATAATGAAGGTTGCGCAGAAAATGTCGATGTTGTTATGGAGAAAAAAAATTGTCAGTGCATCTGTATACGAGTATACGATCGCGCGTGTGATACAATTACATGGATTGTGATATATGAGATGGTAGAAACAAATCTTCTTATCTGTTAACACTATTTTGCTGGGGAGAGAGAGAAAAAAAGAGATGAAAGTCTTATTGTATTATTAATCATGGATATTGTTGAATGGATCGTCTCATATAATATTCTCTACATATACTGTGTGTAATGTTGTAAATAAGTAGAGTTCTGAAAATAAGGCAGTCTTTATGCTTTTTGAATTTTCTTGAAATTAGCATGCGCATTGTATGACAATTCTATAAATTTTAGAAAACAATATATTTACGGTAAAACAGTATTTTAATATGTATTGAAATTTTTAAAACAAATATAAACAGTTGGAAAATTTGTTAAATTTAACATATTTTACGTGTCTCCTAAACGATCCAAATTTTTGTATTAATTTAATATAAAGATTAATATAAGCCTATTCTTTCTACTTGAATTTCTTTGCAGTTGATTTTTCTCTCTAATGTGAAAAAAAAGAGGAAAGATAAACCGTGTAAGAAGTTGACAAGAAGGTTATACATTAAAATGTAATACAAAAACATTACGTAAAAATTAATACAAAAAGTATGACATTTTGATAAGATTGAAAATAAATTGTAGAAGAATATTTTTTGCCAGTAAAATTAACATTTATATATTAATATATTAATGTATTAATGTATACCCTTTTTTTCAACTTTTTCCATTTTTCCTCTTTTTTTTTCATGTTAATATCAAGAAACATAAAATATACATTGATAATATGATGACATTATGTTAAATTAACATTCTAGAATTCTACGTTAAACATTCTACGTTAAAAATTCAACAATAAAATTTTAACAAGAATCGGTTTTAACACAAGTACAAAATACTTCTTACTTATATACATATAAGTTTTAAAATCAAATTTGCATTTGGAAATTAAATGATTGATATTATATATTATATAGTATATATTATATATTAAGTATAATACAATATTATATATTAAGTTACATTTTAGTTAAGTTACACATTTTAATTAAGTTGCAATATGATAATATACAATAAATTAATTAGTAATAATTCTATAAAAATTACGATCGGTGGGAATGAATATGAACAAAAAAATTATTTATATAAATTTTTAATTTTATTAAGTTAAATAACACTAAGTTTATTTCTGATTTTTTTTTCTTTTCTGATGTCAATACAAATAAGTTTATTTATTGATAACATTTTTACACGTCATTTAACTCTGATATCAATTTATGCCACAATAACATTGATTTTAATTTATAAGCGTGAGATATTCATATATTTTAATAAAATTTTACCAATTTATTTGAAAAATTATATCTTTTGTCAATATTTTTTTTTTACGTAAGTTTTGTGATTTTGCTCGCATTTTCTACATTATTTAGAAATAATTCTAGAAATAATTCGAATATTGTGATAATTTATGCATTTGTATAAACATTTCAATTTATATACATAGATCAAGATTAACCTGATTTCTCATTCGTTTTCTGACTTGCAATAATAGCTTTATGCAGTAATATTATATGTATATTTTAGGTAATTTATTACATGTATATTTTAATAACAAATAATCGTCGATCATTTTGTTGTGCATTTTTCTTAGGGTAATGGTTATGCTACATAAAAAAGCTTAAACAGTAAGATGTAAGTAGACAACTCAACGTTTTATATTTCCTACTGTTATTGTCTTATTGTGATTTGTTGATTCGCTTAGGAGAGACTGGAACTTATTAGCCGTTTTCACAATTTCGGCATTAGATTTTTTAAACAATTAATTATTATAATTAAAGTATACTAATATGAGAATAGAAAGACTCTTTTTCTATATTTTCGTACCAGTAATGATTCTATACGCTGTATAATTTTTTTGCAGTAATGAAATACGAACATGCTGCATTGCAACTTGCTCCGATATACATATCGATATAAAAAATAATTTACATATGTGTAAATTAATATCTATCAATATCTATTAATATCTATTTAAGTTGTCTTTATGATAAACTTTTAAATTTATCATTTTATTATATCAAATTATCATCGTCAAAATAACATGTCCTATATTACGAGACACTTTTTTAACTAATAATACATCACTTAGATTTTTCTCAAGCTGAAGGACATTAATACGAAATGCTCAAAAATTTATTTGCTTCCTCTTGAATTAGATTTTTTTCTTTTTCTATTGTTTGATTTAAATGAAACAGAAACGTATGGAAAAATACCTATGTTATAAAAGAAATATTTTGTGGTAATTTTTCCATTGTCTCTTTCGTCATAAATACATAAATGAAGCGCAATGCTAAAATTAGTCTCGGTCTCTCTTATTGTTTACTACTTTATATTTTTCATATGTCATATATAATCTTAGTTATTCATATCTCATATTTATCGATAAATCCGTTCATCTATTTCTGAGACTCTGTATCTATGACGCAAACTGTAAATGCGCATTTAAAAGCATTACTACATACATGTGCATTTAAAAGCACATTTATCGATACAAGTGAGATATGAATGCTAAAGTCTCATTTTTTTTTTACTGTAGCAAAGCATATTATTAACTATCATCAATTTTAAGCATAGCATTTATCATTATCTCTCTCTTTCTCGCTCTCTCTCCATCTTCCTTCCTTTGTGTGTTTATGCAACTTGAAGTTATCGTAAACAAAAATGAATAATTATAGACAATTACAGGTAGTGTCGAATCAACTTATGACATCAGACCATAAGAGGAGTATCAGATCACGAGTTGACAATTACGATTGACGGCTGCCCAGTTTTCTATTTCAGCCAATTACGATGGACTCGCTACATCGTGATTGGTTGAAGTAGAACCGGGCAATCGTCAATCGTAATCATCAATCTGTAATCTGTTACGGGCATTAAATAATAGAGAGAGAAATCGGAATACTTTTGAGAATGAGTCGTGTAGAGTATTTCGATAATGTGTGGCGAAAAAAATCTGATTCTTAAATTTCTCAAATTGATTAGGAGCGCGACATCGATTAAATCCCAATGACCTTTCGCGTGCTGCGTCAAGTCACAATTCAAAGGTCGACTTCTCGCTCCACTTCTCGCAACATCTCGGACTGCTATCGCGACACCGAATACCGCTCTCTATGGCATAATCTAACAAAGAATTTCTCTCTCTTTTGTATTCAAGAATGGCTGAACAAAACAACGGTGTACAACAAGCACATTATTGTGCGCGCCTTAGACCTCCGGCCGAAAAATGTTCCGCTCATTACCGTGTCGAATCATCACAGTTGCTTCGACGATCCGGGTATATGGGGTAAGAAAGTTTTTTTCTCCTTTACGTCGTTTGTTAAATGCCTTTCGGCATTGCGTATAATAACGTATCATCAGTTCCTCCCTCCCCCGCGTTCAGCCTCACGCGGGGCTAAGACTTTGCGTTGTGTACGGCTGATTTATCGTCTCGAGAAATTGAGAAAAATAAAATACCGCGTGTGCGGAACGTACGAATCATCCGGGATGTATAGTGCCGGCGGTCCACGTTCATTCTCCCGTCTAATAAAACGGTATGCTTCGAGGCACTCTTTACGATCCCGGGCCGCGCAGTTAGAGTCATCGCGGACGCAATGAAACGTAAGGACAAAATACATTGTCGCTTCATGACGATGTGGGACCAACCGGTTGTTGAAAGAGAAATCAAATAAAAATTCATTTTGACGTCGAAAGACATCATTTTTTAACTAAAATTACTGATAGCTTGTGCAACAGAGCACGAATAATTTTCTTTGAAATTACTTCACTGAAAAAAAAAATGATATTCCAACAATGTTATTTTAATCGAAAATAATCTTGTTAATTTAACAACAGTATTAACGAAACAAAATTTTATTAAAATTTTATTAAAACAAAGGCATTCGTTTCATTAATGCTATTGAATTAACAAAATTATTTTCTATTAAAATATGCTGTTGATGCATCATTTTTTTCAGTGTCGAATCGTAGGGATTTAAATTTTATGCACAGCAAAAGGCAGCATAGGCATCAGGAGCAGAGAATAAAATCTAGAGTCTAATCTATAACGTGTTCTTTACTCTGATGTCAATAAAGCAATAATATCTCGGGACCTGATATTAAATCGGGCAAACATAAGGTCTTTATCAGGATCCTATTTTAATTTCTAGTCGGGTTTTAAATGCATTTATCTCACACGTATGATTGTGCGCCAATTACTTTTGGACTTGCAATATAATCAACCTGAAACGATAGCATTTTAAACCTGTAAAGACATGCTAGCCACTAATCTAAGGCTAGCATCAAATCAGCGACGAAATTTAATTTGAAATTATTATTGTGAAATTATTAATATTATTTTAATGTGATCGTGTTGCAGGTCTGAAAATAATTGACGCGTAATCATATGTATATCTCAGACAAATGTATTTAAAATACATATAGGAATATTATTTCAACATCTAACTTTGACAGTAATTGATGCTTTTCTTATTTGATTTATATTTTTAGAGTGTATTCCTGTTGTCTGTGCTTCTTATTGTGAATAAGAATTTTAATCTCGCTAATACAAGACATTAACTGACGATAAATAATGGGGATAAGATGATTAACTACGAGAATTGATCCAACGTGAATGAAGAACAATGACGATAAGTGCCCATTAGTTGACAATGAGATACAGTAAGCATGAATATCTGCGTCATTCGTTTATCGATGCTCCCGTTTATCGTATGTTCTTCGTTCTTTCTTCCTTGTATCTTTGTTCTTCAGTTCATTGTGTCCCTGATATTTAATTATGTGCCGATAATAATTAAAAGCAATTTTTTTTCTATATATTTAAAAAAATTTTTTTTTAAGACAAATGTTAGTTTTTTATAATCGACATCCTCATGTGCGTTTTGTCTCTCTTTTGAGACGTGTTTTTCTTTCTCAGAACGACGCCGATATGCGATCGCGAATGAAAGAATTTAAGACAGAAAAATCTCTGAACTCATTTAGCGACCCTGGACTTCAGACACTCGTGGAGCCGACGTAAGGTACGATGGTCGCTCGCCGCGCATGACATTTGTTTCACGAATGTCTGGCATTCCTACTTTTTCATGCTCGGCAAGTGCATACCCATCGTCCGAGGAGACGGCGTATATCAGGAAGCTGTGGATTTCTGCATCGAAAGGTTGGCTCTTGGCGAGTGGGTGCATGTCTTCCCCGAGGGAAAAGTCAATATGTTTAAGGAAGAGATAAGGTTTGTACTTGAATTACTTTTACAATCTTCTGTTCTGAGATTAGATAACGTGATCTACGCATACTGTCTATAAAGTTTATTCCGTCACCATATATATTTTAATGCAATTAAAATGCAAAAACGTTTATAATTTGTAAATTACATTTTTGCAACTTCAAGTCGATTATAGAAGATAAAAATTGAACTTATTTTTTAATAACAGTAGATTATTAAATTAAATGTTATCTTTCTATAAAGCTCTATATGCACGAAAAGTGAGGTGGTGTACAGATGAGCGTTTTGTAGAAATTAATCCAGAAGTAGTCATCTGATTTTTTTTAATATTTTGTGTGGTGTTTAAAAAATTCGGATTAATCAAAATTTTCTAAAAAAAGTAAGTAGAAATCAAACAAATATTAAATAGAACAAGTATCGTTAATAAGTAACTTATTATGACAGTATTTATAATAAAATAAAGGTTTTAATTAATATAACGCTTTTTTATTACACATTTTCGATGGAATTGCACATTTAAAAATTCATAAAGAGTAATTATAAAAAAAAGAAATAAAGAAAAAAAAACATGTTAAATAACATACAAATATTTTACAATTTACTTTTTCTTATCGCTATAAAAATACCTTTCTTATTTTCATGTTAATAATAATACTATAGTCACACGCAGTGAAGATATACAATCGATGATACTGTTTAGGTTGAAATGGGGCGTGGGTAGATTAATATTAGAATCACCCATCACGCCTATCGTAATTCCTATCTGTCATCTCGGTATGGATGAAGTACTTCCCAACGAACCGCCGTATATGCTTAAAGTGGGAAAAAGAGTTACCATGAATTACGGTGAGCCCATAGACTTCAGCGGATTGCTGACCGAATTGCGGGAATCAAAAGCAAGCGAGATGGATGCGCGAAAAGCGATAACTGATCGTATTCAGCAAGAGCTTTCCAGGTAATGCTATAATTATATCTAATGTTTCGAACTATTGAATAATGCTCGATGGAACGAGGAAAGTGAAAAAAATATTTAAACATTTTCAGATTGAAAGCAACAACCGAAAAGCTTCATGTTAAGTTATGACGAAGATTATGCCTTTTTCGTCATCCCTCCGTCTAGCCTTAATTTGCCAAAAATATAAAGAGAAATTGATATCAACAAAAGTGAGATTGTATGTAAACATAAATTCGTATGAAATTAATTTTTTTTTTAATGCGTACTTTGTAATAATATAGTAGTATTTTTGACAATACTGAGTAATATAAGTATCAATTGTATTAGAAGTTCTGCGAATTATGACGTTTATATCGTCTTTTAAATTATTCCTCGTAACTCTTCGAGAGATCACTTGATACGCCTACACAAAATACATCTATAAAGTTATGCACTTGCTTCCGCAATTTTATATATTTTTCTATTCATATAAATTGAGAGCTGTTTAAGTGATTTATTGAAATCTCTTCACGAGATTTAGTTTTCGTTTAATTAATTTCAAGTATAAACTATTAGTAAATTTTATTTGATTTTTATTAGTTTCATTATATAGATATTTAATTTCTATATTATAAACAGTGATGAACGAATTTTTTAATAAAAAAAAAGTTGATTGCAATTTCATCAGAAATTTCTAGCGGAGGAGTGTATGAGCTTATACATTTTGCTAATATATTCCTAATATTAGATGTAGTAAAAAGAAATCCATTATTTTTCCAATAGATGGTTTTAATAATCTGTTACAATTAGTAATCTGTATCTCGTCTACGCATGATACAGATTACTAAAGCCATCTATTGGAAAAATAATGGATTTCTTTTTACTATACCTAATATATTCTCGAGGAGTTATATATTTTATGAGTAATGTCTTGTATAATATCTATAATCCAGAATTTATAAATATCTGTATACAGATTTATAAATATCTATATATAGGATGTCCTACTTCTCGCGCGTAAAAATAGGATTTCTTGTATATTACATATGTACATAGTATGAATAATTATAACATTATTATGGTTTTACGATGATTATCAATAAAAGTTTTGATAGTACAAGCGAGGACTATGTAATGCAACCGAAGTCTAATAACGTAACTGTAAAAATCATGCCAGTATCATCCATCATTTTATTTTCGAAAATCTAAGGTGTTATTATTAACGTGAATAAAGCACACTATTATTGATTAATTATATGTTTCTCACTCTCATTACAAGCCAATTCGTGCCAATTAATCAATTTATATTCGTTTTTTGTTAGGAGACTCGTAATAGACATTCACATTTGCAATTAAACAAACAAGTGTTATAATTAATGCACAGCGCAAAAGATTCGTCTACCTCTCGTAAGTTGTAATATGTTGTAATTTTAAAATTTGCATAAAAACTTATTTGAAAAGCATGAATATAGATGCAGTATGGAAATAATTTTTACTACTTCGTTGAAGAAAAAAATCAATATATTTGTTCGTTGATGATGCATGATAGTTTTTTTTAAATATTTATTACGATATATTAAGTCGTTACAACAGCTGTTATTATGACAATCGCATATCTATGTACGCTCCTGTATGTGTGCGTATATACACAATGTTGAATACATATACTTTTATACTATACACACGGACTGCTATCAAAATTTTTGGGGTTATTCGAACGTGATAAATTTATATATGTATCATATACATGTTGAATATATCATTAAGTATTAAAATATCGTTTTTCTCTAGCATCTGAAATAAAAACTTGTGTTTGTTTTATCGTTCTTCACATTTTTCTTAACGTGAAGTAAACGTAAAATTTTTGTTCCCTTCCCTAGAATACGTAAAGTTTTTACACCATTTCTGCATGCTATATACACTATCTGTTTACAAACGTGTAAGGCAATGACTTTGCAAAGGGTAATCTAAAGTAATACATAAAAATCATGCCAATTATAAGGGATTCTCAAAGAGTTCGTTGATCATCGATTCTGAAGATTTTATTACTATATGCATAAACATAATTTAAAAGAATAGTATTTTTGTTCACCGACAAACTCTAATATCTATCGTTCTCCGTCTTTTTTCAAAAAATATTTATATTGTCAAATATATTGATATAGATACTGGTGACGTCAAGATATTTTTTGCAAGATTTTGTTGAACCTAAAATTTCATAATTTCATAATAAGATTACAAGAGCTTATTTTACACTGTTGAGTGTATGTAGACTTTTGGAAGCTGATATAATTACTAGTAGATCCTGTGAAGAGTAGAGATAAATATATAATCCTAACATATATTTCCATCTTATTATTTATATGCCTTTTGAATTATCATTGTTGCTATCAGAAACCGATTCACGTAATCAATTACCATGTACATCTAAGACAGTGATAAATATATTAAAAGGTGTGATTATATATTACAGATTTCATTATAATATCCACAAATTGATTATACAGGACATACACTTAACTGTTGTCGATATATATATATAGAAATAGATAGATGCTATGGATTACATAACTGCTGATATCATATAATCTATCAATACGAAGACCGCAAATCCCTTGGCACGTTTTTAATTTATAAAACTGGACATTCCAGTCTTACGAGCGATACAAAAGCGGCGTACGATCCTCGTATTGTATCGTACGAACACGAACGAGAACTATGTATTTATATATATTATGTATAGCATAAACTTTGAATAGACAGAACAGTAGATGAGTATAACGAGAGAAAATTTACTTAATATACATACTATCACCCCATTGTATCACTGCCTTTTATTTTCTTTTATATTAAAAAAATTTGATATATATATATATATATAGAAAGAGAAAAATAAGCCTTGGTTAACAATATAAAATCGATCGCGAAACTTGGCCCGCGTTAAACAAGATATGTTATAAAATTTTATGGTGCTATCAACTGTATAATAACAGGGAGATATGTTAGACTAGAAAATGGAATTTCTCGAATAATTATATCGCGAATGTATATTCTTGACTTACAGTCGAGCAGTCATAAAAATGTCAATCAAAATAAATCTAAAAATGTTTCAAATTGCTCCCAGCATAATTACTGTACGCATATTCCATAAATTAGATATACAATTATATACTGCTATTATATCATACAAATTTTTTCTAATCACACAATCTTTCTATTTCTAGCGTATATGGAAAGAATATGATACGAAACGACTTGTAAAAATGACAAATTTTCCAAAGCAATTGATATTTTGATTGGTTGTTCTGTACGTTTAGGCTCGTTTTTGGACGGCAGATCTAATACAAACGAAGTAAGCGCTGTATTATATTTCGTCAAAACTTAGAATAGGCCAAACGGGATAATCTAACATCGCTCATATACATATATATCACAAATTTAATATAGTACTCTTAATATAATTACTTTAAGCTAAACTCTTGTTTATATAGCGAGCATCAATAAATAAGATATCGAAATTTTAAAAATTCATAAAATGTATGCAAGTGTCGCGATCGAAGAGAAATAATATTCAGTTCTATTAGGTGTCACAAGAAGCACGATACAGTTATCATTCAAACAACCTTTCAATCCATCATAATAATCTACAGGTACGTTATCTTGTCCTAATTAAGCAAGGGAAGTTCTTTGTTCGACATTGCACAGCAATCACGCCAGATTTGAAATAGATTTGTCTGACTTTTTCTTTTATATATCTAATGTTTCTAACGATGTCCATTTGTAATCCTTCGCAGTCTCGTCTTGTCAAAATTGCAAATACTTCCAAGTAAAGCAGCACGATCATTTGATGATTTTGATACACTATTCGATGCACCACCGGATGCTTCATGTGGCGGTGGTAACGAAGGTGGTGGTGGTGGTGGTGGTGGTGGTGGAATACCTTTACCAGGAACTGCACTTGTTTGCGTAACTTCCACAGAACCTTAGTAAAAAACATTTTTAATGATAGACTTTTCATAGAGATTTACATATACATTTCATTCTAAGAAATTCAACAAAAAAACTGTCTAATTCGTCTCTTTAGAGATGTAAGGTATATAACTAATCAGACCTCTGACAAGTATATAGATATTATAAAAACAACATCAAAAGATCTAAAAAGAATTTGCACAAGATAAGCTAAGGGTGTAATTACAAAATAGTTATTACAAAAAATATATTTTACAATGGAAAACAATGCAAAGCAATGATGAGGAAAAATCTTATAAAGTGAAAATAAGGATAAATGTGAAAATTCGTTAAGACGTTAAGAAGACCTGAAAGCTCGAATGACCTACGTGAAAGGAATGACCTCAGCTTGATGACTACACGCCATCAACTTTTGTGTCCAGCTAATCAAGAGATGTAAAAACGTAAATGTCAATTAGCATTGACGATAGTAGCAAGGAGAAGCATTATAATGACTTACGAAGTGATGGAGGAGTCAACGTTCCAACGCTGGTAGCCGTGGAAGTACTTGTGGGACTGTCCGAACGTTCTGGACTCTTACCATTTATTTGCTTTGTTCCGTTTGTACCTAGCTGCGAGGAAAAACGTTGTTCTTGCGCCAATTTCTGTTCCTTTTTCTATAGGAAAAGAATATGAGATTGTACTTCGATCAATCATAATTTTTCATTCTGAATTCCTTTTTGTTTATACTCACCAGTTTATGTTTTCGTTTCTTCATTTCTTCTTCTGAACTCATCATTTCTTGAACCTTAACGAGCCTCTTTTGATGTCGAGCAACTTTCTGTTCATCGCGCAGTCGTTGTTCAGCTTTGTTTACAGCTTCTTGTAAAGCCTCTTTTAAATGATTGCTCAGTTTAAAGTACGGCTTTTCCACAGTACCAATTGCCAACGCAGCGCGCCTCGCTGATTCGAAGAATGGATGTTCCAACAACCGTACTACTGTTGGTAGATCCTGTTTCAAAGCTTCCGGTGATAAGATGACCTCTAGCAAATTTTTTAAATTCGTTTCGCACTGCGGTAAATCGGAACACGTGGCCTCCAAAAGTGGTCGTCCGAACGTCATTTCATATAAAACATGTCCAAATGAATATACATCAACCTGAGTCTGTTAAATAAAACATATGAATTAATAAATGCAAGAAAACATCCAAAAAGAATATCTTTGAAGATTGAAAAATTCATGTATTCTTTTGCTCTTTTACTTTTAATTGTTGCCATTAGGTATAGAATAACATATACCGTGGCGTGCAATTTGCGCCTTTGCACCACGTAAGGCCGATAAAATGCCGGCAATCCTAGGAGTCCATTTTCTATATCCAATAATTTAGCGCATCTTGGTGTTAAAAGGACATTGCCAGTGTGTAAATGTCCGTAAGGTAATCCTTTTTCATGAAGAAATCCTAGAGCTTCTAATATCTACAAATCATATTATACATCAAACCGAGTAATCTCAAAATTATCTCATTATAATATATTTTTGTGTGCAATAATTATTAACCTGATAACCGTACGTAGCAATTTCTTGTATTGTTAATGCTTTTATTTGTTTTGGATTTCCATATTTCTTTATAAATGGCTGTTTAGGCTTAGTGATACATAAAACGTCACGCAATGTGCCCGCCGAATAAAAATTTCTTATCATTAGTGCCCCATTATCTGTAACATGCTGGTGTACTATTGGTTCGATGTAAGTATGTCGTAGAGAGCCTAGGGTCTTGAAAACCCCTTGTATATCTTTATCTTGTAAATGCTTATCAGGGCCAAACTCGACCCAAGCTAGTAGAAGTTCTTGTTTCGGGTTCTGACGATTTTTCACTGTATAATAATGTTTCCTCAATCGCCATCCCATATCAGGAATGGGCTTACATACTTCGAAATTGGCATCGCTTCGTAATGCTAATGACACTTGTTGTAGTGCGATTTCTAGAAAAAATAAATAATTTTCACATTTTGCGCATTTGCTTTTAAATAAATTATACATCTTAATGTTGAAAAAAATTCCTTCATATAATATGTAAGACAATTTTAATTAAATCATCCCACTGAATAACATTGGTCGCGTTCAGCAAAATGTTTATTTTACAATTAAAATTTTTCTTCGTTGAGGTAGGACTATATGATCTAAAAATTCAATTCAATCAGTGTAAAGCACTAACTAAACGCTGACTTTGCTGAATATGGTCAATGCACTCTGTATCTTTATGTTTAATCTCTTTATAATACTTAGTAAACATAGATATAACTGCTATATAATATATACATATATTTATAACATATATGAATATTTTTCTATATTATACAGCAATTATATTTGATGTTTGTTAAGCAACTTCACAATAATCTTTTTAATCTTCAGAAACAATCAATCACTTACCATGTAATGGTGCAGTATAATTCTCAGGGTCTAAAAACTTCTTTGTGGAAAGTGAAGATGCCAGTATAGGATTCATTAGTATTAAGTTTAAATAATTCTGTAATAAAAGGCAGATTATCTTCTACTTATTGTATTGCACAAACATAGTAAAAGTGAGCATGCTGTATCGAGATGAACCTGCAGTGCTATTTGTCGCTGAGCTATAAAGTCTGGCTCCATGTTACCAATAATCCTTTTTGGTGGTAGTGGCAGATCGAAGCCAGATATGGATAAAGCTGTATTGAGTTGTACGAAGTCATTGTAACGTCTGCTTACTCTCCAAAATCTTTCGGGAAGTGGACCTCTTTGTGTTTTGATTACGTATTCCTGGATATACAAATCACAGTTCTTAGCATGTGTCTAATAATTCGGTGCAAAGTGGAACTATACACAATAAAAAAAAATGATCGAAGCTTAAAAACATAACACTACAGTTTACTGTGCAACTGAGGAGGCTGTGAGCCAAGTAATATATATATATATTCATATAAGTATATATACTCATATATAAAAAACAAAAATGTCACCATGATAAAATATGATTATTATAATCTTAACAGGCTGAATGCTCCTTTCAATGTAAATTAACTTTAATCTCGGTTTAATTTACTTTGTATTGTCTTCTAGTTCTAAGAATTAGAACTTAGAAGTAGAAATTGAATTCTTAGAACTAGAAAATACAAAGTAAGTGAAACTGAAATTAAAATTAATACAATGAAAATAGACACAGGGGAAAATTCCTTTTAACAATAGTTTCATTTAAATGAGGCAAACAAATCGAGATGATTACAGGATAAACTGAGAAGGGAAGGGAGGGAGGGAGGGGGGAAGTAGATAAAGAGAAAGAGGAAGCGAAATACCGGAGCACATACCGTATGTCCATCGATGGTCCTAGCATTTTCGATGACGCTCGTCAGCTGCTCCGTATCATCTAACAGCACTTTATTCGTGTATCTCTTCTCGAATAAAGCCATTGATCATTAGTCCGACGTGAGGCAGGGCCCGTACGGGGCCAATTGCGTTTGTCTCTCGCACAATTTCCGCGCGTCGCCATACATGACGCGCTTCTGCTTCATTTCAGCATCGGGCAAACGCACGACAACGACGGCGACAGTGACGGCGACGGCGACGGCGGCACCACTTATCGCGGGATACTTTCAATGTCAACGCTTTGCAACACAACACCACGCAATGTACCAAGCACGTAGCAGGGGAGGACTGTGTCAGACTCTCTCTCTCTCTCTCTCTCTCTCTCTCTCTATCTCTCTCTATCTATCTATCCTCCCCCTTTCTTGACTCGTCGCGATAACACCTCAACGGCGCGGCGCAATCCGGAGCTAACCGTGTCGCATCGTCGCGAAACCGAGTCCCGACGACGCTTCACGAGTCACTCGTCACTAGTGTGACGTCACCAGTCTTATGACAGGTGGATTCTTAGGCCAGTATTCCAATCAGTCCTTGTATTTGAGATTATTTAAAGTACAGTCTAGCTTTTAGAGCGGTATTCACAGTCCGTTCTTATTTTAAGATCGTCTTAAGTGTCTTGAAGTGCTAATGTAGTCCTCTAATAGGCTTATGACATCTTAAGACTCTACTTAAGACATTCTCGAATGGTCTTAAAATAAGAAGGGACTATTATGAATGTCAGTCTTAGGAAACGATAATAACATCCACAATTTCTGTTTTGTTGTATGCGCACTAATGTATCAAGATAAAAAGCGCATTTTTTGACACTTTAGGTCTGTTTTCTGTGGCTGGATAAGTGTATGGATAACTACACTTTTGGAACTTAAAGTGAGATAAGTATATTTTGATATTTGGCGAAAACGAGAAAGAGAATTCTAGTGCAGTCTAGTGCAAGAAAAACAGCCTCAATCAAAGATTGAATTGGACTATTGAATTATCACCTTTAAATCAATTGCGCAGTCGTGTCGTCTTTAAATATGGGACGCACATCTAGAATATCTGTGCGCTGTGACTGTTGATCGAAAAAAAGATTCGAAGCTTCATTCTGGTCGATTAAATTTAACGTTGCGTAACACTATATATTTCTCAAACCACACATTCAAATCTCTTCCTCATTCCTTTCGGATCCGCAGCTGTAAAGTAGCTGTAACCTGAAAACTATTCCGCGCACAACAGCAGGTAGTCGCGGTGCGAGGAGGTACAAGTGCAGTTGCTGGCTGGTGTGCGGGGTGCGGGTGCAATGTAGTGCAGCTGAACGAGTGTGCGGAAATTGGCGGAAATCAACGGAGATCGTGCGTGTTCTTCTATCTTCCTGGGATGAATCTTAATGGATCTTCATCCTTATTGGGACGAAGTGTCACGGTTTGCTGATTGTTTGAACTCGTTCGTCTGTTCGATAATTTCCGACGTGTAACGCCATTGGTCGGCTAAAGCTAAGAATCAGTGCGGCTGCAGTGATAACCTCGGTGGCTGCGTTAACTTCTCACGCTTCAATATCGAGGTCGGCGACGACGGCGACATCGGCAACGCGAAGCCAGGACGGGAGTCCGCAATATGTAACCGGACTCGGAGTACGCTTGTGTTATTCGTATTCTTCTTGATGCACTGCGCGTGGCTGAACGACTATTCTACGTTAAACCTGTGTGATGATCTCCGTGACGGTGACGGTCAGCGAGTCGCAGTCGAAGCCGAGACTCCGAGGCGTCGGTAAGATCTTCCCGATTTGTTGACGAAGGCGAGGAGAAAATGACGGAAAGCTTGATAAACGAGTGGCTAGCGGACTGCAAGGATGTCGCGCCGTCGGAGCTGCACATGTTCGCTAGAACGCTTTCGGAGGACAATGAGATCGTACGGGCGCTTTATATGCTCCTGGAGGAGCGCACCAAGTACAGTGAGGTATAATACAAATGCCCGGAGAACATTCTCCGTTTACACGGGGAATTTTAGCCAGAATATTGCCTGCTAATTTCCTAACGATTATATTTGATATCGAGCTTTCTATTTTAGCTACATTGACAGTTTTAGATAAATCATATTATGTATTTATTTAGAAAAAAAATAGTTATATAATCATTGATAGATTGAGAGAGAAAGATGCACATATAAATCTTTAAAGATTTGTTATAAATTATAAGTTATAATTAATTAAATATATTACCTGGAAACAATTTGTTTGATATCATACTTTTTATGGCTGTAGTGACGGTTTTAGTGACTCATACATTGTGTATTTATTTAGAAAAAGAAATAGCCATAATCATTCATAAAATATAGAGAGAAAAAGATATGTACATATGAGTAATTAAAGATGTATTATTAGGTGTTGAAATTAATTCGTAGCGTTTTACAAGTGATGGGAAGTACTTTCATTAATGTATTTTTTAATGCTCATGTGAAATAAATAACATTCTTTCATTAAAAACGCTATGAATTAATTCCAACACCTAATATAATTAGTTAATTAGTTATTTGTATTTCTTGGAAACAAAATTATGCTTTGATATCAAACTTTCTATTATTGTTTCGATAGTCTTAGATGAATCACATTGTATATTTATTCAGAATAAAGCTATATACTCATTGACACAATGAAAAAGAAAGATATATGAGTCATTAAAGATCTATTATAATCTATTAATTAGCATTACTTGTAAATAATGTTAGAATATGTCAACAATTTCGAATTTATTAAAAGCACACATTACTTTGATTATATAAAATAAAATCAGACATTTTTTTTTAATCCTAAATTATTGTTACAGTTAATGGACGAAGTATGTAACCAGTTGTATAACTTTTATCGATCTCGAGAAATAGAGTTACAAAGGTTCACCCTACAATTTCTACCAACGCTGATATATATTTATTTAAATTCTGCTGCACATGGTGATATTAAGGTAAGATTGTACTTTTATTGAAAATAAGAATATAATGTTGTCTTAAAAGTGTCTTGGCAAAATAAAGAACGTAGAATTAATTCTAACTAATATTTTTGTTTCTCATTTGTTGCTAAAAAATTGCCGAAAAAAAATTTGTTATTCTGTAAGTTTTCTTAAAAAATGATGTTTCGCTAAAGAAAGATTAATGCCCATTTCTACCAACGTAGATTAATTTTAATCTCGGTTCAACTTACTAAAGAAGATAAAGAATAAATCAGCAGAACATTAAAAAAAATTGTATGTTATATTTGTTATATGTATATTGTTTCACTAATTCTCCTTTAGCAGAACATAATTTTTTAAGAAAACTTACAGAGCAATAAATTTTTTTCTTTGGCAACTTCTAGCATACAAATAAATCACAAATAAAAATATTAGTTAGAATTGCTTCTGCTCACTTTATTCTGCAAACTTATAAAACGTAATATAATATATTGTCTCAATAAAAAAATAATGTCTCAATGCCGGCTTATTGTGTCATTTGTCAATCATGTTTTACATTATCATGGTATATAATTGATATTTAAACAGATTTATGTAATCCAAAGAACGTGTAATTCATATGACAAATAAATTTATATTTTGTATTACATTGTTACAATAAATTACATTGTATTGTCATAGAATTAAATATAAGAAAAAATTATTAAAATCTATAACTTCGTAATTCTATAACTAAATGGTAATACAAAATATTAATTTATTTGTCATATATAATAAATTACATGATAGATAAATCAATAGTTTGTATTATATGGTATATACATACGTTATATATATAGAATTACAAAGTCATTGTATAGATTTTGATAATCTTTTCTTGTATTTCTTATATTATTAGGTGTTGGAATTAATTCGTAGCGTTTTACAAGTGATGGGAAGTACTTTCATTAATGTATTTTTTAATGCTCATGTGAAATAAATAACATTCTTTCATTAAAAAACGCTACGAATTAATTCCAACACCTAATATAATTTTAAAACAACTATTATATCAAGTTCTAACACTATATTTATTAATAATATCTAATTTCCAGAGTTGTCGCTCCCTTGAAACTCTGTTAATTGGATTATATAATCTAGAAGTGGTCGATAAATCAGGACAACAAAAAGCAATCTCATTTAGATTACCATCCCTTGCTATGCTATCTATATATCATGAGGTATGTTGGCACATATTTTTATTTGATATAAATATTTAAAAATGATAATATAAAATGATGTTTTTGTATATGTATATATATATATATATATATAAGAGAGTAATCATTGAAGATATATTTTATGTGAATAAATACTCAGTAAGACTTTGGTTCAGATTACACTTCTAGAAGCTTACAATTAAGCTAAACTACGAGTTTCAGATTACACTTCTTAAAGCGTTAGCACTTTGGTTAGATGTTATTGGACATATATTAAGTATATCATTTAAAGTGAATTTAACTGACACCAAGTTCAAAATTGCATCTCAGCAAAATATCATTTTACCGAATGTTAGCTTACTATAAAGGAATAGCATTGAATGGAATTGAGCAAGATCTTACTGTAATTTGTAATTTAATAATTAATATTTAATATCATATATTTAATTTATATTAATGATATTGTTAAAGAAAATTCTACGAAGAAAAAAAGTATTAATTGCCAAATTATTTTACATTTATTATAGATTTCATAGTTATTTAATATAATGTATTTTTTTAAACAGCCTGCAAGTCTAGCACCAGCCTCACTAACAGAAAGCGCCGTACGTCGTTTTGAAGAGTGTAACTCGAAACTTGTGAGCTGGGGTCCATTGCAACAAGTAGAAACATTAAATGCACAAAATAGATTGAAAGTTATGACAGCCTTACTTTTTATTTATAATCAACAACTTGGATATATAAATAAATTTGCTCTAGAACAATTGTGCAAGGTTGCAACAAAGTAAGTTCGACTGTCTTTCTTAACTGTATGAAAGTTGTTTATTTTCGATTGCAATGTATTTTTTTTCTATTACAGACTTGTTACTCAAGGATTTATGAAATCAGGACATCATCAACGTTCCTCATATGGCAGTGAGTCTAGCTTTGTTCCAAAGCTTTTACCACGTATACCAGTATCCAGCCAATTCCTCTTGGAATTCTTGCATGCTGTATATTTTGCCATGTATGTAATGTATGCATTTTGCGAATTTAATAGCGTTTTAATCTGTTATCTATATATTTATTATTACATATTTTAATTACTAAATACATCGATTCTGGCGAGCATAGCATTACGGTGAACTAATTTGCTAGCATTGCATCTTATATAAACATATATGTATTTTTTTTTCTCTATAATACATGAATAATATTCTTATTTGTAGGTATAACGAATGTTGGTATGTAGGAACTCAAGCTATAGAAGATATTCATAACAGAGCATATTATGAAACATATCCAAATGTAATGTTAGTTACCAATGCTATACGCAATTCTGCCAGTTCTGGAGCACCAGGTAATTGTTATTATAGAAACAAGCATATAATACATGTATTATTTATTTAAGTTAAATATGTTGCATAAAAATATTTTATAATCCTTTTTATCCTTTGGTCATTTAGGTCAACCGAGCGATGGACCAATTGGAATTAGTGTTGCATTATCCCCAGCAACTACTACACCAACCATTTCGAAGTCTATGATCACAAATGCTTCCTTTCGTACTAAGAAATTACCAGGTATGTTTTTATATTGTGTTTATATATATTATAAATTATTAATCTTTTTACGACGACATATAAAAAGTAAATGTAGAGAAGAAAGAAATATTAACGAAGATTATAAATTGTAATCATTTTAAGAAAATATATGAATATTGTGATTTTTTAAATTATCTAAATTTATTTCACGAAGATAATATATTTATGTTCATTTCTATTCATATTTTTATTTGGCACTAATAAAAAATTTATGTCTTATATTCAAACGTAAATCAAATCGTAATTACGAGGTTTGTTCCAGAAGTATCCGATCTCTGCGTATATCCTTGGACATCTTTTTGTGGAAAACACATATTTAGTATTTAGGGAGAAGTATTCTTACTAAGTGG